ATTAGTTGTTAGATAAGGTGTGCAAGATCTTTTTTATTTTCTGTGTGACTGATTTTTATCTGTATTGATACTAATTTTTCCTTCCAGTCTGTCTTTGGAACTTGAAATGCGTTACTTTTATCTTGTAATAAAAAATGTCAGACCTACTGGTCTTCTTTTGAAAGTGGAAAACCACAGTTTATCCCAGTGATTCTTTCTTTTTTTGTCCCATTTGTAATTCTGGTTTAGATGTTCTTCCTGTGTAGCAGCATTTGCTTTCTCAAAATACTATAGCAAAATTAAGCTTGTTATTTCTTCAGGTAGCAAATTGTTTGGGGGGTTCTGGTCGTGTGGATGTAGTTTTTGTTCAGGTTTACCTTCCTAGCAGACTTACATTTTCTGAGTTCATTGCTTTTTCTTTCATCTTTTTTTTGTGCCTTTCTATTACTTCCTTTCTGTGTGTATATTGAATGATTTTTTTCTGAGTTTGTTGATTGGGAAAATATAATTTTGTTATACCAGTATCAGAAAATATTAATTTAAGAAATTACATGTCTGCACTAACATTCCTTACCATACTGGTATGGAGAGGGAATGGAACATTCTTGACTTTTGTTTCAAGAATTTTATCTTTCCAGTTTCAGCTGTTCTGGTAACAACTGGTGAAAAGTGTCAAGTTCTCAGTAAATTGAGCAGGCATCTGTATGCTCTTGACATAGGGCTAATATTTTTTTAGTACTTTAAGTGTTTTAGGAAGGAGCAGATACTTCATGGCTGATTCTTTCCTATGGAAATTGTCTACACAGATAGGAGATCTTACATTATTGCTCTGCGGTTGTTTTAGTATTTACAGTTAGAAATGTGGGGAAAAATTACAGGGAAATACAGATTAACAGTGAACAAAAAGCTTCTTATGGGTGATATTCATTAAACTGTTATGATTCTGCTTGCTGTTATGATGTCTGCTTTTTTCATTATTAGGTGCCAAGTGTCATGAAAAACATGGAAACCCCAAGAAAATGTGTACGCTTTTTTTTAAGCTTAAAGGTTGAATTGTGTTTTCAGTTCAACTGTACTGAACTTATGCTAGTCCAGTTGAAACACTGCTGTGAAAATGCTTCTGTCGTCCTTTGAGGGTCATCTTAGGATTTAAAAAGTAACTCAATAAATAAGAATACAGTTTCAGTAACATTCATGTCTAATGGTAGTTCTTTATTATACCTTAGCAGAATGGGTTTTTCACTTCTTGAGGCTTGCTAGAAGATCATATTTGTTCTCTTTATGTTTTAATTTATCCATATAAGCCCACATATTCCCATTTTGTGATACTGTGTTTAAATATTACTCTTGAATATTTAAGGGGTTAGGGGAAAATTAACGTGGAGATAGTAGCATTTTCTGGCATGAATGTGTGTTTTTTCTGTACTTGGATAAATCGTGGCATTAGATGCTCTTGAGGGCACAAGTTTACTGTGGAAATCCTGTTTACTACTATTTTTGTAATGAGGAATTAGTGGTACTATGCTTAATATATGTAGTATGACTCTATGATTTTGAGCCTAACTCATGACAAATGCCGTTTCTGCTGTTCTGCCTGGAGTGTTGAATATGGACAAATATAAGTGATAAACTATCTGTTAGCATTCACCAGTGTCCATAAAAGCATATTTCTGTGTGTGAAGGTGCAGCAGCAGAGCATTCAATGTCTGAAATGTGATGTAAAAGGCAAGTGATATATCTCACCTGTTTGTTGGCAGTCTTTTTCCTTGCAAAGTTTTTTAGCTTAAGTTTCTGACCATCCATTAAGATTAAAAACTCACACAGTGAACAGTCTGCCTTCTATTTCTTTCTTTGGAGAGCAGTTTCTTTGTTTCTGTCAACAGGGAGGGGATGTTTTGGTAAGTGATCTAGTTCTAGTCATTTCATGATAAGCAGTCTTCTTTGTTAGGGTTCTTGCATCAGGTACTTCCAAGAACAGAGATTGCTAACAAGGACAATCTTTGAACTTTCTTAGTGGTGTAGTGGGAGAGATTCTGTGCTGAGCTGTATAGGAGTGGGAAGGTTGACACAAATCTGAATTTGGAAAAAAAATAAATTAATCATTAACTAAAAAATGTATTTGTCCAAATGTCTCCCAGGAGAAACAGAACCTGAACGAGTTTTACTTTTAAAAGAGAATAGGTTTTTCAGATGGAAGTTAAATTCCTGTGAACATAAACTGTTTTAAGTTGCACATTTTTGTTTTAATTTTTTAATTTTTATTTTCTGCAGTGACACAGGAACTTTTTAACTGTGTTTTTGTTATTTTTACCGTCACACTAATCTCATATCTCACTTGATTATTTCACTGTATATGTAAATTATGTCTATTTTTTCATCTGTCTTTAGTTTCTTGATGTTTAAGCCGCATTTTGTTTTGGAGTTCAGGTAATCTCAGTCTTCATTTACTGTGTGGTGCTGTATTCTCCAGGCTTCAGGAAGGGTTTATTGTAAGATGATTGAAACTGACTAGAAGCTCAAACAAAGCTGTCTCAAGATTTTAGTAGCCGGTTGTACTATAAAGCGATGTCGTTATTCAGGCACTCAATAAAGTAGACATTATCTCCATAGGTTGCTTTTTGTTTTGTCTTATTACCAGTAGGTGAATCTGTCTTACATTTTCTGTGGATATTACAGTCATAACATTCATAATTATTGCAGTATAACTGTATAATACTTTTGTTAAAGGAAAACTGCACAACATAAATATAAACCCACAAATGTTAGGTTTGAGGTACACACTCAAATTGGAAACAAAACCAAGTAAAATTTACAAACAGTGGAGACTTACGTCATATGAGCCTGTCATTTGGATAATGGCTAGATCTGAAGCACCTGTCTTGCAGGTCTTTATAATTATGAACTGAAAATGTTGGGGGAAAAAACATTCTTTGATTTAACTTTTGTAAGTAGTTAAGGATATAGTTTTGTATTTGAACATGGGTTTATCTAAAGGTACAGCCACTTTTAAAGTGTCGTAGTTCATGTTTCTTTAAACAGGAAAAAAGTTTGATAAATCTTACCACAAATTTAAGGTGCACCCTGGATATATATGCATGGTAGAAAAGAAAGAATGGCCTGGAGATAGAATGCCAGATCTATCCCTGCTTGTACGCCTCACCCACCCCCACCTCAATTCCTCCTTATCTGTAGTGATAAACTGGGGTATTAAATTTAATAGAATGCATAAAACAAAGCCAAATGAACTTGCTTGAAATGTCTCCAATTACATTAGTGGGCTTTAAATGAACTGTTTGGGAGTAGACTTCCTTATTTGTTATTGTAGTTGTATCAGAGTCTCATGCTGTTAATGACAGCATATTTCTTTACATAATAATGTAGTAAGTGATAATGTACGATTTCCCCAAGACTTAGAAATAGTTAAACATGCCGAAAGCGACAGAGCCGTACTTCTATTAGTAAGATTTTGACATTACAGTTTTGTAGTGCTATTTTAAAAACGTATATTAACTATAAAGCATGAGATTTTTTGCTAAAGTGCTGATGGTTGCATGACAGAAATATAATTTATCATACATCATCCTCAGCCATGTGTCTTAAGAAGGAAGAGTGAATACTTCTGATAGCACCTGTTTAGAAGCATTAGATATGTATTCATTCCCTCTGTTAAATTTGTACTGTGACCTCATCTAGTACTAGTTAAAAGGTGGAAGATTCTTTATTTGCTTACAGAAAGGAACTTCATCATTGTAGTCTAGCATCTCTCTTTTTACTTTCTGTACAGGCCAGCCTTTTTCTGCTCACATTGTTTTCATCATATCCATATTGTGCTGATTTTTCCATCACATGTACAAAGTATACAGGCTCTGCTATCGTTGAATAATTGCTTTGTACAAAGGATTTAAGAAGGCGGATTTAAGAAGGCGGTGGATTTAACCTGAGAAGTTAACATCTCTGATCTTATAACCTTTCTTTCTTCACTTGGGATTTTTAGTTGTACTGCTGTCAAACATCACTATTAATTCTGCTAAATGAGTCTTTTTCAACTTGGAAAAGAGTTGAAGATCTTCAGATATTATTCACTAGTCTTTGATTTTTGCATATGTGTTGTGATGGCATACAGCAAGACAGGAGGAAGAAAACAGTCTTAGAAATGATAGCAGCTTGTGGGTAATACTGTGTAAAATACTGTGTAAAAAGTCATCAAGTTTCAGTGAAAAATAAACTAAGGCTTCTTAATATTATTTAGTGAACCGTTAATTCCTTTTTATATTGCATTTCTTACTACATCTTGCTAAGAGAAGTACGTTGTCAAGACGAGGAATGATTCCTGCTTTTTTATCTTTCTAGATTTTTTTTTCCTTTGTAATTTAAAGGGAGAAATATTTTTCATTAGTTTATGTATCTATTGAAAGTCTTAGTTATGTTTCTCACTACATTCTGTAGTTAGACTTTTTCTTTAAAGCATGGTGCATGGAATGTGGACGTGGACTGTATTTACCACATGAATTTAATATACTATGTTTGTAGGGTCAAATTTTTAAAAGTAACTATCCTAGAGGTGATGTTAGTGAAGTTGGTGGGAGTGGAACAAATGCATGAAAGCACAGCTAAAATAGAAATGTCCTGAGTTTAAAACCATAGTTTTAATCTTCACTGTGTTTCCATTGTGATTTGAACCAGAATATTGAGAGTAACATGGGACATGTGTGTGCCAAAACCTTGAACTTCATCTCATTCCAATTGAAGTTATCCAGTGCTTAGAGATTTATCTACTTATTCAAATTTTTTTCTGAGCAAGAAAACTCATGAAGGCTGTTTTTTTCCATTTGAGATTAGTCAAATTTCTGGCCCAAAAACTAAGCTTTCAAAAGGTTGTTAGGTCATAAATTTATACTATGTTTCTTCTATGCCCAAAATACTTTTAAAAACTTAAAGATTTTTGAGAAATTTTGTCTGTGGCTTAATTCTTACTGTTACAGGAGTTGTAATCATTACTGTTGTTGATTTTCCTTTTCAAGGTACCCAGAGAATGGCATAGTAGAAATGGACACCAGTAATCTTCGACCTCGAGCAAGAACCATTCTGAAGTGGAGTGAACTAAAAGTGGGTGATGTGGTGATGGTTAACTACAATGTTGAGACTCCAGAAGAAAGAGGATTTTGGTTTGATGCAGAAATTACCTCTTTGAGAGAAATCTCAAGGACTAACAAAGAGGTTCATGCTAAAATTCTTCTGGGGTAAGATTTGTTTGACCAACTCATAAAATCTCTACAAATGTTATGAATTAAGATTGGGATTTAATTTTTTTTGTGTCTACCAGTCATCACTAGATTAAAACTAATGTCATACTTTGATTCCACAGCTGTCTGTGTCATGGAATTACAACGTGTGGTATTTACAACATGCAGACTTAGCTATTAATCAGTATTTTTACATTTCATGAGAGTACTAGAGGTAACATAGGTTTCATGTATTATCTGTGATTCAAATTGATTGGAGTGTGTCTTATACATATGTGATATTTATATTAATTTATATCATATATATATGTTCAAATCTATTGAAAGCTGAAAAATCTATTTTCAGTAATTTTGAAATAATTGGGAACGCCTAGGTGTCAGTGAGTATTAGTCATCTCTGACAATATGAGTAAATTTCTGAACTGGCTGATTGGATCATGAAAGAATGTTAGCTGCTGATCAGTAAAACGTGGAACTGTGGGAATTACGAGTTGAACTCTTTGCTTTGTTTTCCTATTTCATTTAAAAACTTTTGCACAATTTTTTTAGGAGCAACGTTTTCTACTGAAATCCGTATATTGCATGGCTGTCAGTAAGCTCTGTGATTGCCTTCTTAGGCGTAAACAGATGACCAGTGTTTATTGGTACTCTTCTTGAGGAATTCACTGTGAACTTCCACCTCCTCATAAGCTTTCTTAAATCCTTTAACACTATCCTTTTCTGACACAAAAGACTTATTTTTGCAAATGCATCCAGGCTGCCACCTCCATCCCTGCAGGACAGGGGTGAGGGCAGGGTGAATGAGTACTTATATATTAGGAGTGAAATTTATTTTAAAATTAAACTTGAATGAAAGTTTCTTTTTTATGTAAGAAATGACAGATATAGTTTTCATATGTCCCCCTTGTACTCAATGAGAAGTATTGTTGTTCATTGGATTACTTGCGTATTAATGTATTTTTCCTTATGAGAAGGTTGCAGTATAGGACATGGTTAACTGGAAGAGACAAAGAAGACATGATCAGGTGCAGTTCAATAGTTTGTGTAACAAATGCAATCATAGCTAGTACTGGGAAGTAGGAAAGATGTTGACTTGGTAAATCATACAAGTAAATGAAAATGTTCTGTGAATGTCTTTTAATTTTAGAATAACAGGAGTTTTATTAGACAATCTCAGTGCATTATAGTCTTCTTGTATTAACTATAGCAGAGATGCAGACTTGTGTTATAGGCAAAGCAAAAAAACCCCAAACACTTAAAATATAAAGGAAAAAGGAACTGAGTAGATTAAATTGTTTAATCAATCTTAAATTATTAAATTGGGAGAGAGATTAAGAAATGGAAGCCAGTGTAGAAAAATGAAGATTTTCATTGTAATGCATTTAATATTTGTATGTCATGTGGTGAATCAGAGATGGACTTCATGATTTTCTACAGAATTGCCCAGATAATCAGTTTACATGAAGTTCAAATGTCTGTTGATGGTGTTATTTAAAACTCTTGTCTGCATGAATTCTTTCACAGTTTTTGACATTTATTAAAATATGATAATCAAAATATGTTTTATATCAGCAAAAAAAGCATATGGTGGCTAATAAAAAATTCTGTTCATGGTAGTTGGAACTCTATAGGATAGTCTTAATGTAATCTAAATAAGCTGGTACACGTGCTTCAGATTTGAGGATGTTAACGTGGAATACTGTGGGTACAGTGGCAGTGCAATGGGGTTCCTCGTTGTATTAACTTGGACTGTCTGCTGAAAGGAGTTTGGAGGTAAAAAACCACACTGTTGACGATTATCTTATTCTAAGGTGGTGATTTTAAGTCCATGTTCCAAATGGAATCTTATTTCAGTGAATTTTCTTCCTGACCAAGAATGCAGGCTTCTTTTATGTATTAATAGATTGTCTGTGCAACAATCAACTAGTTCGCAGAAAATAAAGTTACCTGAGCTCTGCCATTTCTGAATTCTATCAAGGAATAATTGTGTTTCACCTGTGGTACTTAAGTCATTGCTCTCAGCGGTAAAAGTACAAGATATTTTTGCTAGTATTCATAAACTTGTTTAAGCAACATGCTGTGCAACAAGAATCACTTTACATTTCAAATATGCTTGTTTTCAAAATAAAATCCAGTCTCTTAGTGTTTCAATGTTATATTAATATATACTAATATACCAATATAATGTAAATGATGCACAATACAAAATACATAAATGTAAATTAGTTTAATACTACAGTTGTAGACTAAGATAGTAGTGTAACATAATAACATACTTAACACATGAATATTCTATAATTTAGTATTGATATCCTGAGTTCTTACTGTAATGTTAGCATTAGTTAATTGTTTTAAATAAAGGTGAAATCTATTCCGGATTCCTTATATGTTAGTGATGAATTGATGGTATGTTTGTGACTAATTACTTGCAAACTTATTAAGAACAACCTTAGAAAGCAGTAAAGGGAGAAAGCGTTCTTAGTATTGCTTCAGATATATTATTGGCTTAGACTTTTTTCCCTTTCTGGTATTAGTATAGTTTTGCGTACAATAGTTGAATGTTTGATTTATTGATCTTGATTGCTTTTGACAGAGACTTTCTGAAGCTGTTGGCATGATGACTCTCTGTGGTGAAGCTTAGGAATTGGTAGAATTTGTGATGAGTACTTTTTTACTGTATCTGACCTACATGCTTTTAGTGTTACTTGTACTTGTGTCTCCATCATAAGCTAAAGGAAATGTCCTGTACAGTCTTTCACCGTTAGTTTATCTTTTGGGAACCAGATATGGATTCGAGAGTATTATCAAAGAGAGGCATGAGACTGAACGGGGGAGAAATTAGACATCTTTACACAGAAGAATTGACCACATACTAATAATTCTAATGTGTACTGTATTTGCATTGCAGCTAAAATTTGTGGTTGCAGGATGTCTGAAACCTCTTCAAACTGTGTCTCAGGTACAAGCGCTAGGGAGATGGCACTGTGTGGAGTACCGTCAGGTCTCTCATGACTGTGTGTGCATGCTTATTACACAGTTCAGAGTAGTCTCTCTGTGTGTGCTGCCTCAGAGCTGATTTTAACTAAATTTGCGAGGTGTATCTCTTTTTCAGGGGTATCTTCTGTTTCATCATGGAGGCAGTTATTTGTAATTCAGAGCAATATATGACTTGTCTTTTTTTGCACTTCAAATGTGATCTGTCAAATGCCTGTTAATGGTGGGTACTTGGCTGGTGCTGACTGATGTGACTGAAATCACCACACCAGAACAAACTGAGTTAGTTCAAATGGTGCTTTGCATTTTCTCTTTGTTAGACTTCAAGATAAATAGAGACAAAATCAGGTTTTTGTTTTCAGTTGGCCTTCGAAAATTTGGGTTTAGCAAGGTCTCTGTCAATACCAAGCCTTGTATTTTGTTTAAGCCTTTGGATTTATACAAGAGTATCAGAAAAATCTATTCATTCTGCAGATTTTATACCTCTTTGACTGAGGGAAGATTTAGAGTGTTCAAGGTCTTTACCCAAGCAGCAGAATGGAAAATAATAGAAAGGGTCCTAAATTTTCAGTGTGAGGCTTCCAAAAAGGGAGGACTGTTGTGTTTGCAGATCAATTTTTCTAGTTTTCAGACATGCCAGATCCAGGACTTATCTTCCTCATTTGAACACAATTTCTGGTTTTTTATTTTAGTGTTGGTCGGGGTGGAATTATTTTTGAGGTTTTTTTGTTTGTTTGTCCTTTTAATGTTCTTTTAGATTCCTTTTATTTGTGTCTCACGTGTGTTCATTCTCAGAAGGCAGTGTGAAGTTTTTACATGGTCTTTATGCTACCTATGCAGATCTTAATTTTAGCTGCCCCTTCTACTACTTTAATAGCTTTGCAAAGTTACAGAATTTAAACACATTACAGAATAGCAAACTAACAGAGAAACAAATCTTCCATGTTGTTCTGGATGATTTCAAGGTTTCTTGTACATCAATGGATTTCTATCTAGCTAGTCTAGAAAATAAAAGTTATTGGCAGTTGTACCTTGCTTTGACACTGAGAGAAATAAGAGTACCATACTTCCTATCGCTCTTAATATGTATTATGATAATCAACATATCACAGCTGTGATACTTTGTCATACTTCATAGGTGCCCACTAGTGGAGTTCTCATACTATGTTTGTTCTTTAGGCCTGGAATTTCTGTCTACATGGCTTATCTCTTACTAATACTTGTATACTATTATGGTATCACTTTATGCATAAAACTTTTCAGTTTATTTTTTAATGTAGCGTCTTTGAGTGTCGCACGTTGATCTGGGAAGACATTGTTGTGCTTATGTGGAATATGAAAAACATTTACTTGGAGCCACTGTTTAAAATAGCTTTCGTGCTGTATTGGCAGCTATTCTAGTAGTAAGAACTCTAATTGCTGAAGAACTTGTTTGCAGCTTTCTTGCCCAGGCATAAAAATGACGTATTTCTTCTAGGCAACAAAACTTCTGAAAGGGTGAATTTGTCTCCCTCTTTCCTCTTCCTCTTATGACTTCAGTGGAGCTGGTCACCTTTGAAGAAGAGACCTCCTTTTGAATCAACACAACTGTTTCAAATCAAGATAGATTCTGATTGTCCGAGAAGCCTGCTGGGATTTTTCATGGCGATTTTATAGAGGTGATGCCTAGAGCTACTTAAGCATTTCTGTGAACTGCTTTTCCCTAGTCTCTACAGCTCTTTTTGTGATACACAGCCTTAGGTAATAATCTTGCAATTCCTAACAAGAGTGACAGGAAGAATACAGGAAGAATATTTTGGGTCCCATTTAATTATCCTGCTGGACAAAAGAACTCATGTTTGGAGATGTGTGTGAGAGAAAAGAACCTTCTGTTTGAACACAAGTAGTTTATTGGAAATGAAATCAAATTGTTTATTTTTGAATTTCAGATTAACTTTTGAGCTTGCTTAGGTTGTGAGAAAAAACTCAATTAGAAGAAAATGAATGTGAGGACAGAATATTAT